TGGTCCTGATGCTGGTGCTGATGCTGTTGCCTGGCACGGGGCGCACTGCGCATGCTCGGCTGGGAGGGGAGCGGGCGAGGGGAAGAAAAAGCAGCAGAGTGATGCAGCAGCCCAACCCCGGCCGCCTCCGAGGGGACAGCGGCACCTCTAGCGGTGGGGGAGGGGGCGCTGTCAGCGGGGGATGAGCCAGAAGGGAAGAATGAGGCTTCCAGGCCAGAGACGAGGATGGTCCGCAGAGAAATCGACCTGCCTTCTCCACGACCCCATACCTCTCTAGTCCAACTCCCTCCTCCAGGAAAAAACTAAGACCAAGCATTGCTTTCTTAATCCTTTCTTCATGCCCTTCCTGCAGATCACTGTAAAGGATTGCAGCGGGGATGTAACATATAACACGGCTCCTCCTTCAGCTGGCGCCGCGGATGAAGCCAGGGCTGGGGAGCACGGTCAGGCGTGGCAGGCTGGTGGCTACTGACGCCGAGCGGCCTCCGCCCGCAGCCAGACCCCCTCGCAGGGATCCCTGGCGCAGGAAGGGGGGGTAGGGGGGTGCTCCTCCCAGGCCTCTGCTCCCGGGCCTGTGCCTGGGGGCTCTGCGGGCAAACAGAAGCTAAAGATGTTTGCTCAAAAGTTCAGGAAGTATGACTGGGCGTATTCGTCAGGGATTTAGAAATTTCTGGCGGGGAAGAAAAAACGGAGATTAGAGACCGAGTGTGTGGCACCTAGCTTAGGAAATGCATCGTTTTTTCACCATGTGGCATGCATCTCCAATTCTGAGATCCAGTCCCGGTAAATCCAGAGTCCCTGGTTTAGGTGGGTTAGCAGCCTTAACTAAATCTGATGGTTTCAAATGAGGGACTGTGGCATATTTCTGTCTCTAGGCTCCATAATGCAAACATGCATGTATTCCCCCTCCCAAGGACAGTCTGAGTAACAACAACGTTGCCTTAGTCCATTATTGGTCTTTAAAATGGAGATTGTAGCACCTACGTTGGGGGAATCAAGAATTCCACTGGCATTAAGCACTGTAGCAATGACAGGGCTTGGTGTTGTTAGCCATTTTCTCCATCCCAACTTAACAAAGAGGGAGAGGGAGACGAAGGGAGGGAGAGAGGGGGAGAGAGAGAAATACAGACAGACGGGGATCAGAGATCACAGCTGTTAGGGAGCTAAACACTAATATGAGTTCTTCCTCTCTATATCAGAGCTAGGATATTAGTTTATTACACATTTATTATTCATAAAAACCTGTGATGGGTGCTGCCTCCCCCAAATGAAGGCAGCAACATTTTCCTTTTGCCTCAATATTGTTTCCCTAGAACAGAGCGTGGTGTTTGTAGCACAAAGAAGGGTGTCAGAAAATATGTCATGAATGAATGAACACCCCCACCTCCCTGTAGTTCCTACTAGTAGGTCCGTGTTCTTAAAGGATGGCAAGTGTGTCCTGGCTGGGTGTTCCCAGTTTATAGTTGAGATAATGATATAATATTTAAGAGGGGCTTGGGAGAAGGGAAGTGTGCAAGAAATGAGAAGGGAGAAGGAGATGAAAGGCAAAAGATGCCCAGATACAAAGTTATTTGAAAGGCATCTATTGCAATTGACGGGTAACCTCTCGAAGCCTATTCCAAAAATTAAAGCTATGAGTCAGCCTGAACCAACTGACCACCCACCAGTTAAAAGCTGAATTTCCATGTGGGTGTGTTTACAAAGAAGGATGTTGTCCTCTGCGCTGTAATAAAAAAGACTGCATTTATTTACAGAATTTTAGTGATTGTAGTCATGCCTGAGGGCAAGATGATGTGTCAGTAAATGAGTTAGTGAGTCAGAAGACGCGGAATCGCTCAGAAAATTTTACCGGAAGTTTAGTCCTTAAGCCATATATTTACCAGGAGGTTAAACACAGAATTAAATATTCTTTAAGTGACATATTCAGTAGATTTAGTAATATTCTCATTAAAGTCGTTTAGAATGGACTTACCATTGGATAAATACTGCTTACAAAAATGCCTCAATTGGCCTAGTGAAGGAGGCCACCAGAAATCCTCTCTTTGTTATCATCTGACGCAGGGCACAGAGCTGGACCCGCTTTGAAACCAGCAAGAAAACTGGGCCTAGACAAGAGCAATTGAAGAGTACGGGTAGGAATATGACATTTGGAAGGCACCTGCCTCAACAGAGCCGAGATTCTGGGCGAGACGGTAGAGAAAGGGATACAGAAGAGGGGCCCTACAGTGTGAAAGCAAGTGAAAATTAGGGCAATGTAGCACAGCAGATTCCCAAGAGCACGTAGAACGCAATCATCACTTGGCCAGAAAGCCAAGGTCAGAGAAGATGTGCAGCAAAGCGGTGGCTGGCCATGGTGCCGGGGAGCCGTCTGGGAGAGTGAGAGCCATAGCACCCACAGGGGCCAAGGGTGGCAGCTCTGATTCAAGAGCAGCTACAACAGAGTGGCTGGGGGCAGAGAATTCCATCTCAGAGTCAGCTATCCGAGGCTTCTCATTCTCTTTTCAGAATGGCTGCGAAGACTGATATTACAAGTGGAAATTAATCCCTCCGAGGAAAGAAGACAGTATACTCCTTCCTGGTGAAAGTAAAAACTGAGTGAGCTCTATTATTGGTACTTTCCACATGGTCCAGGGGTCAGCAGCCATGTTCTATAAAGGGCCAGATCATAAATATTTTAGGCTTGTGTGCCCTGTTGTCTCTAACACATAAATTCTTTAGTTCTTTTTTTTTAACAACCCTTATAAAAATGTAAAAATCAGGCCCTCATTTGTAAACCTACCATATTAACTACATATATATAAATGTAACTCTATATGTGTGTGTACAGATATATATTTAAAATCTTTCATCAACTGCATTATCTCCTATGCTTATGAGCAGAAAAGTATGTGCAAACGTCTGCATGTCTAATTCTAAAAGAGCTAGTTCTTCACTGAAATTTAACTATTTGTTTAATGAATAACTAGTAGTTGCTTAATTCTTGATAGATGTTCATTACTTCAAGGGACTTCTTAGGAAAGAAGCAGTTCTTCTTTTTGAGGTAATTCCCAGACTTTGGCAATGGAAATGTCAGAAATCATTTGCCAAAAAAATGCAGATACTTAAAATATTATTTTTATTTTTCAATTACAGTTGACATTCAATTTTATGAATATCATAAATTAATTTCTCTTAAAATATTTTTTATTTTTCAATTACAGTTGACATTCAATATTATATGTGTATAGCATAGTGATTGGACATTTATATAATTTATGAAGTCATCTCCCATATAAGTCTAGTCCCCACCTGACACCATCCATGGTTATTACAATATTATTGACTATATTCCCTCAGCTGTACTTTACATCCCCATGACTATTTTGTAACTGCCAATTTGTACTTTTTAATCCCTCCACCTTTTCACCCCGCCCCCAACCTCCCTCCCATCTGGCAACGATCAGATTGTTCTCTGTATCTATGAGTTTGTTTCTGTTTTGATTGCTCATTTATTTTACACATTCCACATATAAGTGAAACCATACGACCCACCAATCTCACTTCTGAGTATTTATCCAAGGAAATCCAAAACACTACTTTGAAAAGATATGTGCATCCCTATGTTTATTTGATCATTATTTACAATAGCCAAGATATGGAAACAACCTAAGTGTCTATTGGTAGATGATTGGATAAAGAATATGAGGTACATATATACAATGGAATATTACTCAGCCATAAGAAAGAATAAAATCTTACCGTTTGTGACCATGTGGATGGACATAGAGGCTATTATACTAAGTGAGATAAGTCAGATAGAAAAAAGATAAATTAAGTTCTTAAAAGATACTATGTTAGATGAAAGTTAATTAGGAATTCCTGATGGAATAAGATAAATTTGAGAAATAGTTGGTTTTTCCCCCACTACATAAACATTAGGAGAGTTTATCCCACAGTTTGATGCGTTTACAAGCTGTGGCACAAAGGGATAAACAGGTATGTCGGGGTGATTTGTGGTGATGATACACGCTGGGAAAAACTTGAAGGATTGTGTTTATTAGGAATAATCACTGAGTCAACATGTAGTTATTAAGCCCTCACTGGGTCACAGCGCAGCACTGGGAGTCTCTGCAGAAGTAAATTGCCATGTACAGCAAGTGAATTTGATCTGAGGAGGTTAGAACTCCAGCAACAGAATTAATACACTAATGCTAATCCCTGCCATTTGCATGATAACAATAGCTAAGCCCTTTAGTAATGCTTACTTTAATGATCACTGTGCATTTACATATTGTAAAGTACTTTTATCTGTTTTATTTTATTTGATCCTCAACTCAGTGACACAGAGAGGGCAGTTATTACTATGCTTTTTAGGAGCTCCATCTGGGATGCAAGGACACTAAAGCTCACTGGTTTTGGAACATTCCTAGCTGTACATTTTTTATTTCAGAGAGGAAGGGAGAGGGAGAGAGAGAGATAGAAACATCAATGATGAGAAAGAACTGTTTATCGGCTGCCTCCTGCACGCCCCACACTGGGGATCAGAGCCTGAAACTGGGGCACGTGCCCTGACTGGGAATCAAACCGTGACCTCC